CACAGTTTCAACTCCTTTCACCTGACTGTGCAGCTATTGAATGACGCTGAGCCCTGGACAGCGGCGAGAATCCAGCCCCAGGGGGCCCAGCGGGAAGGGGTGAGGTCAGGGGCCGGACCAGGCCGGGGGGCCGGGGTGGGGGTCTGTGCTCTGTGCCCCGCGAAGAGGCTTTTGAAGGAGAGCGTTGAGGGGCAGCTTGGCCAGGGCGCGGGCGGCCATCCGAGCTGGGCATTTGGTCCAGAACAAAAGGCAGGAGTTTTCTCTCATAGAAGGACATCCCGGGGAGAGGCCGTGGGCCGCGGTGACTGCATGTCAGGGGCCGGACCAGGCCGGGGGGCCGGGGTGGGGGTCTGTGCTCTGTGCCCCGCGAAGAGGCTTTTGAAGGAGAGCGTTGAGGGGCAGCTTGGCCAGGGCTCCTGCTTGTCTGTGTTCAGATGGCGTTTCCAAGTGGCTTGTTTTTGTCCGACGTCGTGGTCAGAGCGACCTCCTCTGATGCTGGTGCCCTGGGAGGTCATGCTCACGCCCGCCCGTCCTGACCGTCCCTCCGTAGGGGCTGCTTTTCTCCTCCTTGGCCCCTGGTGGTGGGCGTCCTGCCAGATGTGAGGTGGCTCCTGCCTGGGGGTGGTGTAGTCGAGGGGAGATGTGGACCTGGGTGAGGAGGATGGAGGGTGGGTGTGGTGTGAGCTTAGGTGTGCACGGCGTGGAGGCGTGGAGGCGTCTGGAGCAGGCACTGGCCCCGTGGTGTAGAGTGAGCGCGGTCACCACAGGCTCCGGGGGCAGGTGCGGGTGGAGCGGCCTGGGGGGCGGGGGGCCTGCTGTCCAGCCTGTACTGGAGGCGGGCTCCTAGGAGGAGGGGCAGTAAGCAAAGGCCTGGACAGAAGAAAGGGCGGGGAGGTGCGTGGCTGGAGCTGGACGTGTGGACGTGTGGCTGTGAGGAGGGAGCAGGGTTGGGTGGAGGGGAGGGATGGGCTGGGGCGGGAGAAGATGAGGTGGAGGGAGGTGAGACGGGCCAGATGGTGAAGGAGTGCATGCCCCCCACCATCGAGACCTGAGCTCAGGAGCCCTCGCTGCTCTGCACGGAGCGAGGCCTTTCCGAGGAATCGCAGGGTCTGAAGGACGGAGGGAGGACGCACAGCTGGGAGACACTGTTGGGACAGGTGCCTAGGCCACAGCAGTCCTTTCCCGGAAGCAGTGCCCACACTGTGTGACCTGCGATGCCCTCCCAGCCTGTGACTGTGACTGGAGTGGGTTAGTCCCAGGCTGGCACCTGACTCCATCTGAGTAGTCAGAGCCCTTTTCTGGGGCTTTTGGGTTTGGGAGCAAATCCACACTTTCTCTGGTCTTAGAGGCTGTTGGCTTGGGGCCAGATAGCTGTTGGCAGCCATATTCCCATTTGTGTAGCCGTTGGTCTGTAATGAAGGTAGGGTAAGCCAGTGGAGAATGAGAATTCTGCTGGCATTTGAGGTCCAGGCCCCGCCTTTCCCACCGCGTGGTGATGGAATAAACCAGTGCCCTGCGCGCCTCGTTTTCGCTGACGCCGGGTGAAGTGCGCGTCTTGCCCTGTTAGGAGCCTTCACTCAGCGTGGATGGAAGACCCAGCTCCAAGGCACTGAGGGTCTGGTCGGCGGGTGTCGGCACGGGAGGGAAATGGGAGAGAAATGGCAGCGGCTGGTCCTGGAGAGCGGAGGTGCTGTGTGGACTGGGTGCGAGCGTGTTCAAGGGAGGGGAGCACCCCGGCCATGGCAGAGGAGGGGGCAGCGGGCGCAGGGGCGACTTTGAGTGCATCAGCAGGGTGGGGGAAGGGGGGCGGGGGGGGAGGTGGTAAAAGGAAGGGTAGGTAGAGCCAGATCCTGGATACCTGACTGAGGTTAGACGCGATCCTGTAAGAAGTGGGAATAAGTGAAGGTGCTGGGTGTTGGTGATGACTGTTAACAAAATCTCTTACTGGTTTCTAATTATAAAAGGACCACAATCTAGAAAATTAGGGATTAAAGGTTCTAAAGAAAATAAAAATTACATTGACGTCATTTCTGTATTTAAAAAATGTAATTTTTAAAAATGTAAATTTATATAGTTGAGATGCTGTGTAGATAGTTTTCTAGGTTATTTTTTTCTCCCAGTTAATACATCACAAGCATTTTTTCTGTCAGTACATATTTTGGAACCATTTGATGACTGTATATTTTTCCACTGTGTGACTGTAGCATAATTTGTGGAATCCCCATCTCTAAGTTTTTTTGAACTCATGACTAAAATTGTGTTGTATTTAAAACCTTTCTCCATGTTTCTTGTGTTTCTAGAATTGATTCTTAGAATAAAGTTACAGGATCAAATAACATAACCTTTTTTGATGATTATTTAAAAGTAAGGTATCATTCAGGTATTATTTACATATAATGTAATATAATTCACTTTTTAGTGTTAAGCTTTGAATTTTGGCAAAGCCATATAATTGTGTAATTCCCACCACGGTAAGGATACCGACAATCTACTCCCCAGGTTCTCTTAGACCCACTGTAGTCACTGCCTTCCCCACCTCTAAGCCTGACGGCGTCTGGTCTGTGTTTGCCGGTCTCATGTTCCCTTTCCAGAATGTCATTAGATGGAGTCATGCCATCAGCAGTTTCTGTCTCTGGCCCCAGAGAGAGGCTTCCGTCCACACGCACACCACACTCACCCCACCCCAAGGCCCCCAGAGTCTAGCACATTGCAGGATCAACTCAGCGCCCAAAATCCTTTCTTCCGCTTAAAAGTTCTAGTTCCCATCATCTAAACCAGGTGAGTGAGGCCCCGGGTCTGTCATCTGTCCTGTGGGTATGATTCCTGGCCACCCGTGAGCCTGTGAACTCAGGAAAGAGGCCGTGCGCTGTGAGGGGCAGTGCAGGGCCAGGCGGGGAGCCAGGCGCAGGCACCGTCCAGGAGTGGGCGTGGGAGAACAGACGTCGTCGCCAGGCCCGAACAATTTTATCCTCTTAGCAAAGCAAAGGTTTTAATTTAGGTGAACTCCGATTTATCAGTTTTCTTTTTAAAAACACCACGCTTTTAGTGTTATATCAAAAAACATCTTTGCTTAATCCAAAATAGTCTGTTTTCTTCTGGAAGTTTTGTGCTTTGGATATGACATTTAGGGCAGCTTTGTGTTAGTATGTGTATTTGGTGCACGGTATGAATGAGCTGAGGTCTGTTTATTTGAATGTCCAGTTGAATAAAACCAAGTTCCTACACTTTGGGACTGACATTCTGGCTGTGGTGGGTGGGCAGTAAGCGCGCACGTGCTGTATCTGTGATGGCGGTAAGTGCCACGGAGAACGGAGAGTGAGGGGGGGGGCACTGTGGGTAAGTGATAAGGGCAGCCGGGCCTGGTGAGGTGATTGGAGGCTGAGGGGCGGCCCTGGGGGCCTGGTTAGTGCAGAGGCCCTGAGGGGCGCAGTGCCGCTCACGTGAGATGGGCGAGGGGTGGTAGGGGATGAGGTCAGGGGTGGACCTCCGTGCCGCTTGGGCCGGAGTACCCATGCCAGTCCACCTCGCTGCTTGGAGGAGCCGCTGGAGGGCGGGGAGCAAGGATGGCTGTCGTCTGACTCGGTGCTGCTCACGGTGGCTCTGCAGGCAGCGGCTCCGCAGCAGCATCGCCGGGAGCTGGTACCACCCAGGGGCCTCGCCCAGACCTGCACAGCCTCTGAGCGAAGGGCCAGGCCTCTGCTTCACAAGGTCTCGGCGGTCCTGGTGCAGGCGGTGGCTTCCTTCAGGAGCTCTGGGCAGCTTCGCTCTCCCGTCCCCTGGTTGCCTGTGGGGTAGGCCGTGGGAAGGCAGAACGGAAGTAGGAAGAGCCGGGGATATGGGTGGAGGTGCTGGCAGCCGGGACAGGCGGGGTGTGGGGTGGTGAGGGGTAATCAGAGCCCAGAGGGCTGCTCAGAGATGGGCTGCAGAGTGAGAGGGCGAGGTGAGTCGTAGGGAGGCTTTGGCCTTAGAAGGAGGAGCTGGAGCTGCCTTTACTGAGGCGGGAAGACAGCGGGGAGCAAGGGAGCACTCTCTTTCATGGGGAAGATGGGGTGGGAGTTGGAGGAGTTAGGTTGAGGGGAGTGTGAGCCTGGGAAAGACCGGAGCCGGCGTTGCGCCCGCTGAGCTGGGGCGCTTTGCCTTCGGTCCTGCCCAGTGGAGGCGATCTGTACAAGCTGAGGTGCGCTGTTTTTCTAATCACACACTCTGTATATTTTATTTATTTATTTTCTTTTTATTAATGTCAGGAAGGGAGAGAGAGAGAGAGAGAGACATCAGTGATGAGAGAGAATCATGGCTCGGCTGCCTCCTGCAAGGCCCGCACTGGGGTTCGAGCCTGCAGCCTGGGCCTGTGTCTCTGACTGGAATCAAACCTGGGACTCTTTAGACTGCAGGTCCACACTCTATCCACTGAGCCAAACCAGCTAGGGCAACTCTGTGTATTTTATCTCTGCTTTCCGCAGGTATTGGGATTAAGGTAACCGCAGTCTCCGCAAACATGTCGGTTCTGATATCACAGAGTGTGATCAATTATGTGGAGGAGGAAAACATCCCGGCCCTGAAGGCACTTCTGGAGAAATGCAAAGACGTGGACGAGAGAAACGAGGTGAGACCGGGCGGCGCTGCTCCTCACAAGGATGGGTGGTGCCCCGTGTGCAGGCAGCGTGTGTGATGCCCCGTGTGCAGGCAGTGTACACGGGTGAGGCGAGTGAGTAAGAAAGTATCACCTCCCTCGGTGATACTGACTTAAGATAAGGACAATTTCTTGTAGTTAATGTACTTCCAATTCCATATTTTTGGAATGCATTTGAACTTACATAAATTATTGTGTATTGAATTTAGATTCATGATTGCCTTTTTTGCAGATGGAATAATCAATATTCAGGAAGTTTGATTACTAAAATCTAATGTGCTTCTAGGACGCTTCAGAGAGCTTCTATAAATAGATTAGCCAAACAAAATTAGGACTTTGAAATATTTCCTTTAATGGAGCCCCAATTACCTTTCTGAGGTGTCCATGCCACACACCTTGGAATTTTAAAGACCCTGTATCTTTAAGAGAGAGTGAAATAGTCATGTGTTCTTTTTAACAAGACAGGGAAGTATACATTTACCATCTCATTATAGTAGATATTTCTAATCAACAGGAGACGAGATATAAATACAATGTTGATCTTATTTCATCATGAACAGCTGCAACAGTTTATGGGCTAATAGATTTTTTGTATGAATTTTTTTAAGCAAAGTACGTACATGTTTTATAAAACATAATAATAAAAATAATTTTGTTTCTTAAAACTGTATTTTTCATGTAGTATAATTTTTTTTGCCAGTGGATAAGCTCATAAGATGTTAGTTTAGTTTTCACGTATACATGTATGTGTATATGTGCGAACCTTTCTCCCTTTAGTCCTGATAGTACATGTATCATAATGTAACTGTGTTGTAGGGAGAATTTGGTTCCCATTGGTACCCTAAGGTGGTGGTTACATTGTGGTGATGACTTTCTGAGCCTGGTGCTAATGGTATTGATAGATTTTTGAACGAAATTGCAGTGCTGATAACAGGTTAGTCATGCTGTGGTAAAAGAAGGTTTTGTTCTCTCTTTGACTTTTACATTGTTAGTAAATTGAAAACTTAAGACTTCAAAGGTGTTTCTAAATTCAAGAAACCCTGTAAGCAGTGCTTGCCGTCTCGCTGTGAAAAAGAGAGCGTGGTGCTAACGGCATCTTGGTCAAGCCCAGCGCTGACCATGTCCTTTCCCCAGTGCGGCCAGACCCCGCTGACTGTGACCGTGTCCTTTCTGTCCCCAGTGCGGCCAGACCCCGCTGACCGTGTCCTTTCTGTCCCCAGGGCGGCCAGAACCCGCTGACTGTGATCGTGTCCTTTCTGTCCCCAGTGCGGCCAGACGCCGCTGACCGTGACCGTGTCCTTCCTGTCCCCAGTGCGGCCAGACGCCGCTGACCGTGACCGTGTCCTTTCTGTCCCCAGTGCGGCCAGACGCCGCTGACCGTGACCGTGTCCTTCCTGTCCCCAGTGCGGCCAGACCCCGCTGACCGTGACCGTGTCCTTTCTGTCCCCAGTGCGGCCAGACGCCGCTGACCGTGACCGTGTCCTTCCTGTCCCCAGTGCGGCCAGACCCCGCTGACTGTGACCGTGTCCTTTCTGTCCCCAGTGCGGCCAGACCCCGCTGATGATAGCCGCTGAGCAGGGCAGCCTGGAGATCGTGAAGGAGCTGATCAAGAATGGAGCCAACTGCAACCTGGAAGACCTGGTAGCTCCAGAGAGGAGGCGCTCATGGCTTCTCTTTCTTTTCCTGAACTTGGCTGTTTGTTTGATGAAATGATTCTAAACGAATGGGCGGCCAATTGTACTACCAGTTACATATCAGCTTTGCCCAGTAGTATGCTAAGTTAATTTTTAAAAGGGAGAGACGTTTTCACTTTGAATGAAAGGTCTCAGCTCTTCATGTTGTTATATGTAGATGGCACTGTGAATAGGGAGCACACACACGGAATCAAATGCCTGCCTAGAAAATACCCATGTATGAGCCGTGTTACCAGTTACGCCGCCTAATGCTGTCTGTTGTTACCGGTGTCATTACATGGTCACAGCCAGGAAGATGCAGTGCCTTCTGACTCCACTTCTGAGCAGTCGATCACTATTCCAGGAGGCTCTCATTTCTCTTGCTGTTTCCCAGGAATTATTTTTTAGGGTTACTTACACACCTACATCTGTTTTTTTTTTCATTTTATTTTGTATTTTTATTGATTTCAGAGAAGAAGGGAAAGGGAGAGAGAGAGAGAAACATCAATGATGAGAGCGAATCATGGATTGGCTGCCTCCTGCACGCCCCACAGTGGGGATCGAGCCTACAACCTGAGCATGTGCCCTTGACCGGAATCAAACCCAGGACCTTTCAGTCCACAGGCTGATGCTCTATCCATTGAGGCAAACTGACTAGGGTTACATCTGTGTGTTCTTTTTTTTACTTGATTATTTTCAATTGATGATTTTTATTGAGTGGTCATTTGAATTAAATTACACTCATGAATAAAAGTTAGGATAGGATACTTGTAGCCTTTACTTAAGAAAATAAAGGAGAATACGTGATTTCTTTATCACATCGTTTCTAAACTCATCATGGGGTTGCTTTAGTTTGCCCGCCTGTGGGTGTGCTCTTAAGTCTCATTACGGTCTTTAATTTCATTTAGCACGATGGCTGCTAGCACAGGATTAGCTCTGAGGTTTTGCTAGTCATCTTCTCTCTTTTTTAGAAAGCCTGGGGTGTGATTAGAAGTCTGGGGAAAAGACTGACCAAGCAGTAGTGGAACCCCTTCTGCGCATGGTAGTCATGCAGGCAGACAGACCCATCCCCCGGCTGAGGGTCAGGGTGACGTTAGAGTCGAGTGGTAAATGCAGTCTGGCGTGATCCTTTGGCAGCACAGTCACGTGTCTTCAGGCTGCTTTTCCCCCGTTTTGAATGTTATTTCTGGTTTCGAAACGGTAACAGAGTGTCTTGTGTTCAAGGATAACTGGACAGCGCTTATATCGGCCTCCAAGGAAGGGCACCTGCACGTGGTGGAGGAGCTGCTGAAGTGCGGGGCGAACCTGGAGCACCGGGACATGGTACGGCGCTGCTCCCGCCCTCGCCCTCGGCGGGGACTGTGACCGGCGACAGGCCCCGGGGAGCTGGGGTGAGGTGACACAAAGCTGTTTTGAGGATGTCATTAAATGACCCTCAGGATGTTTAAACCCAGGCAGTATAATATCTGCCTCTTCTAGAATATCCTTAGTCATCATCTCTAGTTTATTAGAGTTTAAAATTCTGAACTATTGTTAAAAATGCTCACCACCATTTAGTGTGTCAGTGTTTTAGAACTTATGAGGGAATGTTTCCGTTAAGAGGAATTTTAAGAGGGACATAGTTTCAGTTGTTTAGTCATAATTTTCAGATTAACATTTATAAACGTATTTTTAACATGTAATTGTGCTCAGACATGCCATCTATACATGACAAGCTGACAAGATACGATTCTTAATTATCGTGGCTCTTGTTTGCTCTTGGCATCTGCTTAAAGCATAAAGGTTAAGAAAGGGATCGTTTTTGGCTTAGTTATTCTGCAAAATTTTTAGTCTTTTGGAAAGTTCATTTTAACAATGGAAGGAAGGAAGAAAGGAGGTGATCTGCCCTGATCTGTGAGACAGGCATCACTTTGCTGATGATGCTTCAGCGTGTAGGCGGTCTGAGTGTTTAAGTCTGCAGCCTCCCACCATCGTGCACTTCTGTGGTTGTCCCTTGTTCCGGGAACGATCCAGCCGAGGGGTACTGCTCAGGGCGCGTGGCTCAGGAGTGAGACTGAGGCGGGCCTGGCCCCCCCGCCCCCAGCAGAGCAGTCAGGCTGCTCTGAACCCGTCTGCCAGGGGTCAGGACGTGTAAGCACACACCGCGGATGTGCAGGGTGTGGTAAGATTGGTCACAAATGATTTCCTAAGCCCTGTAGGTTCTCCATACTTCTCATTCCCCCCAAGTAATTATCACACCTTTTCACATGTACAGGGTCTTAGTGTAAAGCCCCACAAATCGGGGAAACAGGACCGTGTCTCCCTAAGAGTTGGGATGGACTGGCGGTGGGAGTGGCCGCTGCCTGTGAGGAAGGCGTGGTCCTGGGACTTGGGTGAGGAGAGGCTCCCTGCGGGGGGCGTCCTCTGGGTCTGGGGTCTGATGTCGGCAGTCCGGTGAGGGCTCTTCTCGAGCACCTCCAGGGGTCGCCCACCCGCAGCGCTTGCTGACGGCGGTCGGTTCCAGCCTGTTCACTTGGCAAACTTGGACGTAGTTTTCTCAAGAGAAGATTTTATCTCAGAGAGGCTGGCCTAGGGTGGTTATATAAATTAAAGTGGGGCGTGATGTTAAAACAACTCTGGGCAGGCATTTTACAGATTAAGTATTGGTGTATGTAAGACCTGACTGAGTGTCCAGCTCTATAATCCCTGGCCTTTTTGTGCGTGGAGACAACCAAACATTATCCCGCCCCTTTTCAGGGAGGATGGACAGCTCTGATGTGGGCCTGTTACAAAGGCCGCACTGATGTGGTCGAGTTGCTGCTCTCGCATGGAGCCAATCCCAACGTCACTGGGCTGGTAAGCGTGCGCTCAATTCCGCCTGCGGGCTCGGTGGCCAGTTCTCGGGGGAGGACCGCAGCTGCGGGCACTGTAGGCTTCAGAGCGACACAGATGACCCGGACCTTAAAGATCCGAATGAAGAGGGGGACGCAGCGCAGGAGCACTCATTCTCAGGCTCAGCTTGCTTCTCAGTTCGTAGCAACAAAAGGTGACTCCAAAGCTTCCCTGTCAGTTACAACCGTCTGCATGTCGGAAGGAGTCTGAAACTCTGAGTCCTCTGGCCGGTGTTCTGTGGGCCTGTATCTCAATCTAAATTTTTTTTTTAAAGAAGAGACATTTTTCTGTGTCTTACAGATGGCGATATATCCGTTACTACTTTGTGCGAGACTTGATCTCAGATTGCAGATTAAGAAATTTTTATTGATGATATATCATTTAATGTGCACTTTATCTCACAGTTGTGTCCACTACACCTCAATAAAGTTGAAACAAAGAACTTTTATTCCAGTTCGTGGAAGGGTCATGTAAGAAAAGTTTCACACGCCTGCTGTCAGTCCTGCCTGTTGGCCTGATAACCCGATTAAATGAGCTGAAACTAAAATGCCAGGGGCACAGCTGCCAATTAGGCTAGAGTGCGGTGTGTTTCTAAAGTGGAGAAGGGTCTGTAATTTGATATTAAAAATATTACTTCATATTATTCCATTTATTACTTACTCTTCTTAGCAAATGTGTGCTGTAGCTTCTGCCTAAAGGTTTTTCTTTCCTCTCTCCCTGCCTCTCTCCCTCCCTCCCCTCTGTCCACCACCTGCCTGCCTGTGCGCCAGCAGTACAGTGTCTACCCCATCATCTGGGCAGCAGGCAGAGGCCACGCAGACATAGTGCAGCTGCTGCTGCAGAATGGCGCCAAGGTCAACTGCTCCGACAAGGTAGGTCAGCAGGCCCCTCAGGCTCCCGTCCACGTGCTGTCACTCAGTGTAAGTGACAAGTTTTCACACCGTCTCCTGAGGCTGTGCGGACACGGGAGGAGGTCACTGCGTACGTTTCTAGATGAAACAAGGGAAATGGGGCCCATAGTGCGCGGGGAGCGGGGAGGTTTCCTGGGGAGAGGGCCCGGCTTTGAGAAACAGCGGGGAGACTGCGGAGGCGGTCCGAGTCCCCCCTGCAGGGACGTGGTCACATGTCAGGGACCCTCCAATGAGAGTGCCCTGCTGAGTAGGGTGAGGGCCTGGCTGGCGGGAGGGTGGTTTGGAGCATGTGGTCTGGGGTAGTTCGCTCTGGAAGGAGAGAGGGCTCAGAGGAGGAGCTCAGTTAGAGCGTCTCTGAAGATGTCGAAGATTGTTCCTTTGTAGACTTAGGAAGGCGTCTGAGCCAGAAAAAAACGTTATCCACAAAGGAGGAGCTAGGAGGAATTTAATCCTGGGCGAGTAGAGATGTAAGAGTGAGCTGGGGAAGGGCCTCCGGTATTCCTTCTCCCGCCCCTGAGGTTGCTCCACGGGGTGGCCTGGACCACTGCCCTCCCTCTGCAGGCTCCTCCCACCGCGGGCTGGCGTCCAGGCTGCCCTCAGAGGCCCTGCCCCCGGGGAGAGCCAGGCTGCAGCTTGTAGCTGTGGTTCCTGGGGTGTCTGATGGGACCCAGAGAGGTGCCGTCCGCACAGTGGTCACCGGCCACATAGCTGCCTAGATCACATCAACTAAAATAAAATGAAATAGTCACATTGGCCCCAGCTCAGGCGCCCAGTAGCCAGAGGTGCCTGGCGCTGCAGTGCTGTGCAGAATGATGGCATTTCCACGGCACAGCATCCCCGGGACGCCGTTGGCAGAGGCTCATGCGCCTGCGGGCTCCTCGAGCTCACAGTCCCTGTGGCAGCCCTGGCTCTGGCCGCCGCGCCCCCCAAGACAGAGTACGGGGAGTTGTGTCTGATGCCTTTTGCATCAAATTCCAGCAGGAGGTGCTGTTGAGTGCCATCCGAGGCTGCAGCTCACCTTCCAGGGCAGAGCTGAGGCGGGTGTGGGTCAGAGCACGGACTGAGCCAGGCTGTAGGTTCAGGGTCCAACTCCACCTCCTAATCACTAGCTTTGTGACTTGGAGCCATCACTGCTTCTCAGGGAAAATGCGACATGGCCACGTGTCCTCGCTCGTGTGATAGGATTCCATGGGTTACACGTGAAGTCGTTAGAACCGTGGTTGGCACTTGATTGTTGCCGTTTTCCCCTGTAGTCACACTGCTGCACTTGAACTTGTGCTTCACAAGACATGGAAGCAGTGGGGCTTGTGGAAGATCAGTGTGTGTGACTTCATGATGGGAAATTCAGTCACTGATGATAAAAGATAAAGTTGGTTAAAAGGTATTTCATGCAGCGGCTAATCGCCTAACCTGGAGAAATAAAAGGGGGAAATGTGATTTAGCTACAATTAAAATTATGAGGGTGTAGGCAGTAATCTAAGAATACTCAGTATGATGTTTGTCCACGTTGTGGCGAGCACGGGCTCCTTTCGCGCCCGCTGATACGATGGTGACTGTGTGCTGCTTTCACAGTACGGAACCACCCCGCTGGTGTGGGCAGCGCGAAAGGGTCACCTGGACTGTGTGAAGCACCTCCTGGCCATGGGCGCCGACGTGGACCAAGAAGGCGCCGTACGTACCGTCCCTGTGCTCACCGCCGGTAACAGGCGTGCTGGGCGTTTTCAGAGGATGTTCTCCTGTTGGCACCTGAGAAACCGCCTGCGGTTCTCAGTGATACTTGGAGACAGGCGCCCTCTTTCTGTGACGCCGACAGTGTGTTACGTGGCAGGTGTCATGTGCGCCAGGTTCTGCTCTTAAGGATCCATGGCCAATGCACATGAAGTGTGTGCTAGGTGATTTATTGTTATAAACTGGATGTGCAGTTTTTTAAGTTTTTGAAAATGGGGTTTCTAGATCACTGTAAAAAAGAAGAATATACTTTTAGTGAAATATTCTGTAGTTATTAAGTCATTGTTTTCAGTTTCCCCCGTAGATTTTGTTATAAACAATTCTTCGTTTGAAGTCTGAAAGGCCTTACTTTGGATGGTTGAGTTTAGAATGTGTTTGATTTGGGTCACCCGACCCACTGTTTTATGCTTCATTCCCTGTGTGAGGAGGTTGCCCACTGTCGGATCATCACTGAAAGAACTGAAGGTCACAGGGTCCTGTGGACTCGGGGGATGAATGGATTTTCAAAAATAGGAAACAGGCCTCCTGGCACTTGTGTGTTTTTGGTTATTTATGTTGATGCTTTATTGTCAGAAACAACTGTGATAGGCCACCTGCTTGAAAACATTGCATTATTGTGGCATAAGTCATATTTTCTAGAATGTGTTAATTTCTTGCTTAGAATTCAATGACTGCACTTATCGTGGCTGTAAAAGGAGGCTACACACAGTCAGTGAAAGAAATCTTGAAGAGGAACCCAAATGTGAACCTGACGGACAAGGATGGCAACACGGCGCTGATGATTGCGTCCAAGGAGGGGCACACGGAGATCGTGCAGGACCTGCTGGATGCCGGCACCTACGTGAACATCCCCGACAGGGTAGGTGCCTGTTGGTCTTCTAGTGACGTGGGCGGGAGACGACCTCAGTGTCCCACCACCTCCCTAGGTTCTTCCTGCACGCGGGCCTTCTCTCGGGGGCTGTTCGTTCCTCAGAGTCCTCCCTTCAGGGAGAGGCCTCTGTGCCGCGGGATTGCCAGGAAAAGCGGTTGCATTATACGCATTGACCTGCCGCAGAGCGTGCTCGTCTGCTGCTCATTCCCCTGTGGTCTGTCTGCAGAGTGGGGACACCGTGCTGATCGGCGCCGTCAGAGGCGGCCACGTGGAAATCGTCCGCGCGCTGCTCCAGAAGTACGCGGACATCGACATTCGAGGGCAGGTACGTGTGGCTGCGGGTGGTGGGCTCGGAGTGTGATGGGCTGTCAGGCTGGCTGATCACAGTGCCGCCTGCCCGCGTAAGCCCTGATAGGCTTCACAGTGCCTCTCACGTGCCCGGCGCTGTTAGGGAATTCCTGTGTGGATCCAGGTTAGCTTTAGAGAGAAGTGAGTTACGGTAGCTCGGGTTTGAGTGCACCCCTGTCGCTGATGGAGAAGTGCACTCAGTCCCGCAGTGAGCAGCCGGGAGCGCTGAGGCTGGTGTCGCCGAGTGTGCTGTGCGGACGGCGGTGTCTTCACTTCCTGTACGTTTCCCTCTGTCTGTCTTCCCCGCCCCTTCCTTCCCCGTCTCTCCTGGGCACTGGTAGTGCCTGTGGGCTTTGCCAAGGCAGCCTTTGCCCAAAGGCTATTAATTTAGATAAAACATCCCTAAATTTGTGGGTTTATCCAATATTTCAGAGCTTTAACTCATTTTGTTGGACACTCTGGTTTCCGCTCAGTTTTTGCTTTATTCACTTGTATCCAAACCCATTTTTGAATCAAACGAGTAAATCTCTAGCTCCACTTCAAGACCTGTGTTGGCCTATTTTTGGGTTTTGAACTCGGTCGGATTTTAAAGGATGTGATCTAGATTGGCCTGGGGGGGGCGGGGCGGGCTAAGGAAGCTAACCGTGGCGGAAGCAGTCGCCGAGGCATGTGTCGGGCACCCTCGTGCATCCCTTTGAGAAGGCGGGACAGGGACGCCGAGGGCCCTTGTCCGTGGGGGAGCGCAGGTCCTGACGGCTTGCAGCCCAGCGCGGTCCCGAAGCCTGGTCACAGCACAGAAACGCACGCGGCTGTCGGCCACGCGAGCTTGTGCTTTCTGTGCCAAGTGATAGAAGCTCCCAGGCTCCCTTCACAACGAGCCCCACAGGCCGGTCTGGGGCGCGGCGAGGGCTCCCGGTGTTCCCGCCGCGCAGCTGTGGGCGAGCCCTCCCGTTGCTGTCGGCAGGAGGACCCTTAGTATGTGTAAGAGCGTGTTAAAGCGTGCGTCCCACATGCAGCCATCGCTGTTTTTCTTGACAGGACAATAAAACTGCTCTGTACTGGGCTGTTGAGAAAGGGAACGCGACCATGGTGAGAGACATCTTACAGTGCAACCCTGACACGGAAATATGCACAAAGGTAGGCCGACCCTCCGTCCCCTCACCAGCCAGGGCCAGTCCTGCGTGCTGGACATGAGATGACACCGATGTTACTAGTAATCTCCATGTGACATTGAGGGGCACTGTGTCCTTTGAGGAGCTGTGAGCTCACAGGGAAACGTAGCGTGTCATTTCTTACGTGAGTTAAATGTGTTCAGAAAATGCAGTGTCTGCTATTGACCAGCCGTGGACGGGTCGTCCCCAGGATTCGCTCCTGCCCGCGTTGTGTGGGATGCAGACCGCTTTCCTTACGAAGACCCCGCGGTGGGCGTTGGTGCCCAAAGCGGCCCTGCATCCGCTTTACTCAGACCCTGTGGACTGTCCCCTGGATGCGACTTCAGTGACGCATCCAGCCGTGTGTAGTTTTCCGTGGGGAAGATGTATTGGGAATTTTTGAGCGAAATGGTGATAATTCTTCATGAATAACACAGCGTGTGGAGTCACCCATGAGACAAGCCTATTTCATCTCCAAGGACGGGGCAAGAATCTTTCTAAGACAGTGATGCCAACCTCAGTGCACAGGGCAGGATGGTTCCCTGATCATCTTTACCAGCCGTGTGTAGTTTTCCGTGGGGAAGATGTATTGGGAATTTTTGAGCGAAATGGTGATAATTCTTCATGAATAACACAGCGTGTGGAGTCACCCATGAGACAAGCCTATTTCATCTCCAAGGACGGGGCAAGAATCTTTCTAAGACAGTGATGCCAACCTCAGTGCACAGGGCAGGATGGTTCCCTGATCATCTTTATTTTTAAAAAAACAACAACATATTTTTATTGATTTCAGGGAGGAAGGGAAAGTTGGGGCAGTGTAGAGGCGCTGCCCGAGGTCACGGTGGAGGGGGGGCGG